TCCCCTTTTTCTTCTCCATCCGTTACACAAAGTTACCTTCAGTGAATATTGCCACAGCCATAAGCAATCTGTCCATCCCCAAGGGAACATGGGTGACCAGATAGGTGAGCATGTCAGCGATTCCTGAGACTGCAAAGAATAGGTACATTGTGCTGTGCTGCCAGTTCATTAACTTTATCCAGTGGTTTTCATGGTATAGGTGGAAGTGGGGTCCATCTGGAACAAACTGCTCTGCTAGTATCCCTGTAGGGGAACGAGAGTGGAAACTGAAGAGGTAGCTCCAAGACACACAGGTGACAGCAAGAATAACCCACAGGCATGAACAAAGTTGAGATAGGATGACGGGGCCCTGCGGGTCAGCAGACCTACTTTGCTGCAGCTACTTCCGTGTAAAATGCATTTGCCGAGTAATCTGTGTAGACATCTGCCATTGTGATTCCTTTTAGGGGGTTGGAGGCGGGGTAAGAGAAGCAACAAATGCAGCCACGTACAGGTCCCCAGGAGATTTGTCCGGGAGCAGAGAGGAGCGCACGGCATTATTACTTCAGTGAGAGTGTGGCCGATACACTCATCTCCGGGCTCCGTGCCAAATGAACAGTGAACGAAACATTTAGGTTGCAAATAGAATCTGGGCAGAGACACACTGGTAATGAAGATACCTGCACTTGCCCTAAGAGAGAAAAGCTGCTCCCAGGTATGTGTCTGCCAGGGCAGACTGCAAGTGGGTGCCCTTCCTAGGCGCAGAGCCAGCTCGGCAAGCTCTGCGTTCCCTCCAGCTCTGGGTTTTAAAACACTGGAGAATGAGGCGAAGGCCCCACAGTGTGGGCCAGAAAGCTGGCAGCGCTGTGTATTTGATAGTTTTTCATAGTGCACCGTGATGTAAGGAGGTGTTAACTGTTAATATCTTAAAGCTCTGTACACAGTGGATGTTATGATACAACAGCCTAGCCGCCAACTGGAAATTCTTGTCCTATTACCTCTGCCAGTGGAAACATGTATTTCACAAGGCTCAGAAAATGGATTAATGATACAGAGGATGATGAGGAGATTCCCTGGACCAAATGAGCTCGCCTCTTACCAATGACTGAAAACAAAGTCCTGACTGCTGCTTCAATGATCTCAAGACGCTGATGATAATGCTGCAGTCGGCTGTTTTTCTGCTTTTGCTGGAAGTACTTCAGTGGGTACTTCACTGACCACCACAGTCCAACTATTAAGAAGAAACTCCCTGGGAGCGCGTGGCCCTTGAAGTTTGCCATCAGGGTTCCAGGACACCTAAAGAAATTAGGGGATGGCTCTTAGCTGGCTGAATGAAGAAAACATATAAATGTGTATTTTGGCATAAAAGACAATACATGCCTGAGGATTGCAAATCATATGATACCACATTAAGAAGGATCAACTCATTCTCATAAAACAAGCCAGTTTTTTTTTTGAGACAGAACCTTGCTCTGTCGCCCTGGGTAGACTGCTGTGGTGTCATCATAGCTCACTGCAACCTCAATCTCCTGGGCTCAAGTGATCCTCCTGCCTCAGCCTCCTGAGTAGCTGGGACTACAGGCGTGCGTCACCATGCCCGGCTAATTTTTTCTATTTTTTCAAGTATGCAGTGTATTATTGATGATAATTACCCTCTTGTACATTAGGTCTCCAGAACTTATTGATCTTATTACTGCAAGTTTGTACCCTTTAACCAACATCTCTCCAGTTTCTACCCCACCCCCAGCCCCTGGTAACAACCATTCTAATCTCTGTTTCTGTGAGTTTGACTTTTTTAGATTCCATATGTAAGTGAGATCATGTAGTGTTTGTCTTTCTGTGTCTGGCTTATTTCACTTAGTATGATGTCCTCCAGGTTCATCCATATTTTTGCAAATGGCAGGATTTCTTTTTTTAAAGGCTAAATAATATCCCGTTGTGTGTGTGCGTGCGTGTGTGTGCGCGTGTATACACCACATATTTTTTATCTGTTCATATCTTGGCTGTTGTGAACAATGCTGCGATGAACATGGACGTGCAGATACCCTTTTGAGAGAGTGATTCATTTCCTTTGGCTGTATACCCAGAAGTGTGACTGCTGGATAATACGGCAGTTCTATTTTTAATTTTTTGGGAAATCTCCACACTGTTTTCCATAATGAATATGCCAATTTACATTTCCACCTGTTGCGTATAGGGGTTCTCCTTTTCTACATCCATGCCAGTACTTGTTATTTTTTGACTTTTTGATAATAGCCATTTAACAGTTGTGAGGTAATACCTTATTGTGGCTTCGATCTGCATTTCCCTGATGATTAGTGATATTGAACATGTTTTCATAAACCTTTTGGCCATTGGTATGTCTTATTCGTGGAAATGTCTATTCAGGTCCTTTGCTCACTTTTTAATATGTTTTTTTTTCTGTTGAACTGTAAGAGTTCCTTGTATATTTCGGATATTAACTCCTTATCACATATATGGTTTGCAAATATTTTCTCCCATTCCATGGGTTGTCTTTTAATTTGGTTGATTGTTTTGCTGTGCAGAAGCTTTTAGTTTGATGCAATCCCACTTGTTCATTTTTGCTTTTGTTGTCTGTGCTTTTGGTATCATTATTGCTAAGCCCAGTGTCATGGAGCATCCCCCTATGTTTTCTTTTAGGAGTTTTACAGTTTTAAGTCTTAAGTTTAAATCCTTAATCCATTTTAAGTTGATTTATGTGTATAGTGGAAGATAAGGATCCAGTTTCTTTCTTTTCTTGCATGTGGATATCCAGTTTCCCCAACACCATTTATTGGACAGACTATCCTTTCCCCATTGTGTGCTCTTGGTACTTTTGTAGAAGATTAACTGACCTTACATGGATGCACTTTCTATTCTGTTCCATTGGTATATGTATCTGTTTTTATGCTAGGGCTGTACTGTTTTGATTACTATAGCTTTGTAATATAATTTGAAATCAGGAAGTAAGACACCTCTGGCTTTGTTCTTCCTGTTCAAGATTGCTTTAGCTATTTGGGGTCTGTGTGGTTCCATACAAATTTTAGGATTTTTTTCCCCCTGGATCTCTGAAAAATGCTATTGAAATTTTGATAGGGATTGCATTGAATTTGTAGATCACTTTGGATGGTACGTGCATTTGACAATATTGATTCTTCTGATCCATGAACATGGGGATAGCTTTCTAGTTATTTGTATCCATTTATTTACATCTTCTTCAATTTCTTTCATATACGTTTTATAGTTTTCAGTGTACAGATCTTTCACCTCCTTATTCCTAAGTATTGTGTTCTTTCTAATGCTATTATAAATGGGATTGTTTTTCCTTAATTTCTCTTTTTTAGATAGTTCATTGTTAGTGTATAGAAACACAGTTGATTTTTTTTTTCTTTTTGAGAAAGAGTCTCACTCTGTTCCCTGGGCTAGAGTGCGGTGGCGTCAGCCTAGCTCACAGCAACCTCAAACTCCTGGGCTTAAGTGATCCTTCTATCTTAGCCTCCCGAGTAGCTGGGACTACAGGCATGAACCACCATGCCCGGCTAATTTTTTCTGTATATTTTTGGCTGTCCAAGTAATTTCTTTTTATTTTTTAGTAGAGATGGGGTCTTGCTCTTGCTCAGGTTGGTCTCGAACTCCTGAACTCAAATGATCTGCCTGTCTCGGCCTCCCACGGTGCCAGGATTACAGGTGTGAGCCAACACACCCAGCCCACAGTTGATTTTTTTTTTTTTTAAGAGACAGAGTCTCACTGTGTTGCCTGGGCTGGAATGAGTGCGTGGCGTCAGCCTAGCTCACAGCAACCTCAAACTCCTGGGCTCAAGCGATCCTCCTGCCTCAGCCTCCCGAGTAGCTGGGACTACAGGTATGCGCCACCATGCCCGGCTAATTTTTTGTATATATTTTTAGTTGTCTGATTAATTTCTTTCTATTTTTAATAGAGACAGGGTCTCGCTCTTGCTCAGGCTGGTCTCGAACTCCTGAGCTCAAACAATCCGCCCGCCTCGGCCTCCCAGAGAGCTAGGATTACAGGCGTGAGCCACCGTGCCCGGCCCACAGTTGATTTTTATATGTTAATTTTGTATACTGCAACTTTACTGAATTTGTTTATTAGTTTTAACAGTTTTTTTGTGGAGTCTTTAGGGTTTTCTGTATATAAGACCATATCATCTACAAACAGAGACAACTTTACACCTTCCTTTCCAATTTGGATACCTTTTATTTCTTTTTATTGCCTAATTACTCTATCTAGGACTGCCAGTACTATGTTAAATAGAAATGGCAAGAGTGAGCATCTTTTTCTTGTTTCTGATCTTAGAGGAAAAGCTTTCATTTTTATCACCATTGAATATGATACTAGCTGTGGGCTCATGATAAATGGCTTTTATTATGTGGGGTACTTTTCTTCTTTGCTTAATTTGTTGACAGTATTTTTTTTTCATTATAAAAGGATGTTGGATTGTCAAATGCTTTCTCTGCATCTATTGAGATGTCATATGAATTTTGTCTTTCATTCTGTTAATGTGATATATCACATTTATTGATTTGTATATGTTGAACCATCCTTACATCCAAAGGATATAGCCCAGTTGATCATGGTATATTATTCTTTCAATGTGCTGTTGAATTCAGTTTACTATAATAGTATTTTGTTGAGGATTTTTGCATCTATGCTCATTAGGGATATTTGCCTGCAATTTTCTTTTCTTGTAGTGTCCTGTCCTTGGTCTCTGGTTAATGTTGGCCTCTTAAAATGCGTTTAGAAATATTCCCTTCTCTTCAACTTTTTGGAAGAGTTTGAGAAGGATTGGTATTAATTCTTTTTAAAATGTTTGGTAGAGTTCACCTATGAAGCCATGAGGTCCTGGGCTTTTCTTTGATGGGAGATTTTAAAAAATACGCATTCAGTCTCCTTACTCATTATTGGTCTGTTCAAATTGTCTGTTTCTTCATAATTCAGTCTTGGTGGGTTGTATGTTTCTAGGAGTTTATCACTTTCTTGTAGGTTATCCAGTTTGTTGGCATATG